GCTGGCCCCAAAATGGAGCCCTGGGGAACACTGCTCATGACTGTCTGACAACTGGACTTAACTCCATTTACCACTACTCTCTGGGCTCGGCCACCCAACCAGTTTTTTACCCAACAAAGACTACGCCCATCCAAGCGTGTTTGGTCCTGAAGTTACATGAAAAATTATGAAATGCAAAACAGTGTTAACTAGTATTACTAAGTAATAAATTAAATACACTAGACCAGAATTAAATTCTTACAATTCAGACTGCTTTCCCACAAAATCTATCCATTGTTTCATAATTCATCTGCTAATGACGTTTATCTTTTGTTTAAATGGGTAAATGGCTGAACTGAATTTGATTTTTTCCTCTTAATATTCCGAAATGCCACTCCTCCCAAGTACTCCAACTATAGCTAGGTTCATTCATGTACTAGTTCTACAATATGATGAGATGAGAACAGAAAGGAAGAAAGCTGTAGCATGTTATCTGTCATCTCTTTTCATTATCAAGTCGTGACAGAAAAAACTAGTGTATGTTACAACTCATTTATTCTATACCACATAGCTTAGCTTAATAAGCTTCTATATGTATCATACACGTATGTGCCTCCATTATGATCTAGATACCTGAATTAACTTCCTGTTCTTTGCTTTCATTGGTAAGAGGATTATCATGGAGCTTCAAGTAGATTTCAATTGCTGATCGAGCAGCCTCGAAGTAGAAGGCATGTTTCCTGAGCACATCTTCTAATCTCAAAAGGTCTACATAGGCACGAAGAGTCATCTTTCTCATGCAGTATGTGTGGAAGTCAAATTGATCATCTGTTATCTCAAAAAAATGCTTCAAGAAAAAAAAAAAATCACACAACTCTTATGCACTTCCCTTGCTCAGTGTATTTTTTTTAATTAGACGGAGATGAATAAAGTTACAACTGATTATTTACAGGCAATATTTAACAGGCATAGAATCCTTCTCATATTGACTGTCCAAGAGAACCTGTCAGTAGGGAAAAAACCCAACCAGAAAAATCTCATTTTGTTAACAAAAACTATAATGTGATTGTTCAAAGCTTTAGGCACTTTATTTTAAAGCCAACTGAAATGTGATTGTTCTGATTAAAAAAACAATTGGCAAAAAAACCAGCATAAAGTTAATGTACAAATAATTGTATAGTTAGGAGACATAGTGTTTTATATTGAATCCTTTTCACTTCAAATAATTGTTTTTCACATAATGGCTAGGGATGACATCTTATCTATTACAACAAATCATCAACTATTACCCATTTTTTAAAATCATTATACTAGAAACTTTACACGCAAAGAAAGTCATGCTGATTACATCAGCAAATGTCTTCATTAGTGTGTGAGAAATATTGGGAAAGAAACTGATGGTGTTTGCACCTACTTACCCTTTCTACTTCATGGCATTTTTTCAAGGCATCACCATACTTCCCTAGCCTTTGATAAGCTGCAGCACATTCAGTCTGGAACCACATGCACTGCATCTCATTTAGGTTTTCCATAGCAGAAGTTCCTTCCTGAAATAAGTGTCATTATCACTTTTTGCTACTATAATTTACCAGCGGCTTCTTTCAACTATGGCTGGTTTCAGGCTAGGAAAATTGGTTGTAGGAAACAATCAATTCTTCAACTACTTGGAATACAAAAGAAAATGAACACAACCACCCAGCTGCTGAGAACACTACTTGTGATACCCTATGCTCCCCAAGATAGAAAGGAATAGATTTAAATAATTAAAAAAAAATAATCTGAACAAGATTAGCGTCTCAACAGATTTTTAAAATTAACTCATGCCTGTATACACAGTCTACTTTTACAATTTGGGGGCAGAAAACAATACTATTTTTAAAAATCTTAAAGTTCAGCAAATAATTTTCATGTTTTTTTCCCCATCAGGTAAGTGACTCTGGGAAGACCTTATTGCAGCCTTTCTATATATAAAGTGGGCTCACAAGAAAGACAGAGAGACTTTTTACCAGGGCCCATACTGACAGGACAAGGGGCAACAGTTTTAAACTGAAAGAGGGTAGGTTTTGATTGGACATGAGAAAGAAATTCTGTGAGGATGGTGAGACACTGGCACAGGTTGCCCACAGAAGTTGTGGATGCCTCATTACTGGAAGTGTTCAAGGTCAGGTTGGATGAGGCTTTGAGCAACCTGATCTAGTGCAAGATGTCCCTGCCCATGGCAAGGGGGTTGGACTGGATGATCTTTAAGGGTCCCTTCCAACCCAGATCATTCTGTGGTTCTATATAGTTATCTACCACTAAGCGTAAGAGCATTATCTTAAAAATGGACACTAATAAAAGTTATTTTTTTTATTTTGGTCAAAAGTTACACAAGTGAAAAATAAACTGCCAGAGACAAACAAAATCTCTCTTCATTAAAGCAATATACTTACCCTTGTGAATTTAGAGCACATCTCCTCTGCATCCTTCACCATATTTGCTCGCAGCATGTATTTAGCACATTTAGAGTTGATAAATCTGTCTGCAGTATCCAAAGACTGTGCTTCATCCATCCATTTGGCAGCTTCCTTGAGGTTACCTACATGCTGTTATGGAGAAATTAAATAGCTAATTTTCCAGTATAAACCTGATATTGACCAGCTCCTGAACGCTATCATTACTGGTATTTCTTCCTCAGAAATAACAAAAGGCAGTATTCTTGTTCACTCCCCCCTGCCCCCAGATTTTTTCAGAATGACAATTTGCCGTAAATTGTGACTTGGTTTGCAAAACCTAAACCAAAGGCTTTTCATTTTCTTCCTGACAGAAGAGTGCCCAAAAAGAGACGCACATGAAAACCAGTGCCCATAACCACTGCTAACTGAAATACTATCCACACATTCATGCCAGTTTGATTTTTTTTTTTTAATGAACTAAAGTACTCTACATGTCCAAATTCTCTTTTTTACCTTGTAAATTTTTGCTTTTAAATAGAATAATTCTATTAATGTTGGAGTGCTTGCAATTGCAGCATTAATGTAATCCAAGGCCAAAGAACACTGGCCAAGTTTGTCAAAGTGCTGTGCCAGGAAATATCGAACCCAAAGCAGTGTCGTTGGGGGCTCTTTCTCTCCATTTTCTGCAACAAAATGGAAAAAGTTACAGTAACCAGTAAGGTTAAAGACTGCATTTGAAGAACAAACAGAAAAAACAAAGCTTAGCAAATTCGGCAAATATTTCCTGTAATGTATTAATTTACTAGAAGGTATTACAACTCTTTTCTTGCAAAAAGTATCAGCACTTCAACAGTTCTCAATAACTGCCATAAACAGTAGTAGGAATTACAGTGTAATTAATGTAAGACCACAGAAACTTACCACATGTACTAAAAAGGTCACAAGTTTTCAAAGAGGCTTCATAACCAGTAACAAGTTCTTGGATTGTAGAAACCTGCATATAAAAAAATATCAGCCTACGTTATGCTTTACTGTCATGTTCACATAAATTAACACACTGAAAAAAATACTTGGGCAAAGTTAGAGAAACTATACTGAGATGATTACTTAATTTGGAAAAAAATGGATGTATCCTCATACAGTTTACATCATTGATTTTAACTAGTGATACAGCAGGGAAATGGGTGTAATCTTTGGCAGCTTACAGCAGAAAGTAATCAAGTACATTTGATTAGTATCTTTTAAGTTGTATTTTGGAATTTTTATTTATTTATGCTATTAGTTTTTAAGTATCTAAACTGAGCCAACTCAAGAAAAGTGCTTTGGAAAAGACTGCATGAACTTCTCATAACAATGAAGATACAGAAGAGACTTCTGTGGTTTTCTGGCAGCTGATATCTACTGTTAAAGATTTTTTTTTTTGTTGTTGTTGTTAAAAAGGTATTGTTGCCTAGAATATGGGCTGCATCTTTTTAAATAAAAATCTATATATAGACTGATTTAACACTAGCACTTTCCAAAATCAGACCTTGTCAACAACCTTGGAATAAACAACAATATTGAAGACTCAAAATTCACCCATACAGTTCTGAACTCACACTACACAGGTTTGACATGTACAATACATACAAATGTTCGTTTCTGTGCATTTCATGACAGTGAACTACTCCAATACCAGGTCCATGGCTTACAAGTAGTAGTATTTCTAAGCATTTAATGAAATGCTCAACCTGTTTTGTAGCTACATTCTAAATGTGCCTCCCATATCCAGCAAGTAATCAGCCTCTTAAGGAAACAAGAAAAACACTACAGAAAGAAAGAAAGATTATGTACATATACCCAAAACACAGAAGGGACTTAAAAAAATAACATCTGACTGTAAGCATAGCAGGACAATGGCTACATTCACCAATTAGGTGAAACCTACAGATGGTAAAAACCTAAAACTCCTATGGTTAAACAAGTAAGATGATTCTATGTTAAAAAAAAAAGTTGGCTGCAAGAGTAACATAGAAAATATCATGGAGAGACAACAAAATTTAAAGATGCAGGATTTGACAAAGCATGCATCCAGTTCAAGATACACTTTGGGAGAGGAGGGGGAGTAAACCTTGTTCTAGAAGATCAAAGTATACAATTTGAAGGATACTACTTTATTTTACCTAACTCAGCACAATAGGCAAGAAATGCCAAACATTTTGTTTCAAAGCAAGCAGAAGGTGACACACCCAAGTCATATGCAGCCAGTGTAAATGTCTCAAAAGTGTAGTAAAACATATAAACACACACACATTCTGGAAAGCTCTGGGCAAGTCTCATAAGAAATGGTTTCTGGTAGCAAAATCTCATCAAATATAATAAAATGTTACTAGACTTTAAATAACTACAAAGTGATAAGGAATGTAAAGAAGTCACAAGTAAATGGACAATGGCAAATAAATGCATTAAGCTGTTCTCTGGCCCCAGACATCTATTTACCAAAAGAAACCTTCAACAACCACAGAAAAATCTTTCAAGATTCTCTTCTCTAAAATTAGTTTAAATGCAGAAGTAAGCATCTGCTTCAGGTAGCAGGCTTGCAGTGTATATGTGCAACAGCGTGTTATTTTCCTGCTGCTTTTCACTGCAACTTCAAAGTACTCCCGAAGTTATTCTCACCCGGCTGTTAGTAAACCCAAATTCCTCTGAGACCAGCCAGCTTTGCTAGACTGCAAGTGAACTGTGTGTAAAGGGAGAAAGACCCCTTCACCTCTTTAACACACACACACACACCAAACTCTACTAAATTTTTTCTACTGCTGCATACTTGGAGTATGGCTCCACAGCTGGACAAAGACCACCAAAAAGAAGAATGATGCTACCATCCCCGAGCTACATGTGCCTGGTCCCTGCTTTGGGTCAGTGCTAGTGGCTGTATCCAGGCTTAAAAGTGATTTACTCCCTGTTCCACCTCACCATACAGATACCCAATTACTTTTTCCATCATCAGGGGGAGCTGGCAGTGGACAAATCTGGGGCAGCGAGGCAGTAGGAAAGCCTCTCCTCCTAGCACGAGGGTCTTCAATCAGCTTACAGCAACAGCAAAATCAAATCCTCCGATCTTGAGGTGATGGAGAATACCAAACTGTACCACGTTTTAAAAGATGCTAAGTTCTTCCAAATTCAGAACTCTGCAGTGGTTTTGGCTTCTACAGTCCAAGAAACTACACTGGAATTGTCATTCTGAAAACTACTCTGAAGAACCACATTTAGAAACAAGTATTCGTTGAAAGCAACAACTACAGAAGTAATGCAAATCAGGTAGTTAGGTTATTGCAGACATTCATGATGAAAATGACAGTATCTTTGTTTCTCATGACTACTCAGAATGTTTTTCCTCCCTTATTATGCTTATGCTTCAGTCTCTTGCTAGTAATTTAGGAAAATAATTCCAGGTTCATGTGCTGCTTCAGGTAACAAACGACCTGGAAATATGAACTCTAATTTCTGTGTCCATATTAACTGCAAATTTAGTAGTAAAATCTGTCTCTTGGATTTACTACCATCTATTACCTGTATTCTAGAGTCACTATTTCTAACCACCACAGCACTCTTCATAAAGATCATTTTACAATTTCTAAAAATCAAGCTGAGGTATCTTGAAATACCATTATACTGACCATGAGTTAATTTCAAATGGTATAATAATACCACCTAGGAAAAAAGTTTCTGTTATTCCCTTGCCATAGATCTGAAAAAGCTTAAGAAGCATAACTGAAGTCATCAACAAAATCTCAGGTTTTGTTATGACAAGAATGGAGCCAATTCCAGAACTGGGGCCACAAGTTTCAAAAGCCTCTTAATCAAAATTCAAACCTCAAAACTTTTCACAGGCCACTGCCTACAACTTTAGCACAGACAAGTGAAGTGCTCCTTTTCCCTCCTACACCTTAAAGATTAAAATTGCACGTGCTCACAAACCAGTACAGATTCTTGGCAAGCGTAATAATGTTTAAAGTTAAGAAAGCATCTTCCACACCCTGTACTACTTGAGGCAAAGACTCCATTAAGGCCTGAATGGTCTTTTTTTTTTTTCCCATTCCTGTGCAGTTTGTTCCCACTGGAAAGGATGGTTTCATAAGTAAACTTTTAGTAAATGCCTTAAAATGAGTATTTGAGAAATACAAACTGAGACTGGAATAAATATCATGCATACACACCTTAATTTCTTTTTAAACTGTAAGCAACAGAAACACAATTCACTTGAACCCCAATTCTGAAGTAATTTTTCCTGTGAGCATTAGTTTTTATGTATCTGATTATACTGAGAAGTATTTTGTATCCTCTTTTGTAAGGGACAGCCTAAGGGAAAGTTACTGTTTTCCAGGTAAATGGCCAATGGCTAGATTCTTTTATCATCACTTGTAGCTATTACAGTGGCACCTATGGACCAGTCATTAAATGGTAATCTGTGCTGTATGCTATGCCATATACCAAATGACTCCTGCCACAGAAATTTTTCTTTAGATAAAGAGCAAAAGACAACTATCAAAGATAAGAACAATAATACGAGAATCCAAAATGGGATGTTAGGGCTACAGTAGCCTAAATCCTCATTTGATATCCCCCCGCCATATTCCATGAGGGAGGTAAGTTGAATGGAATGACAAAGGAATAAAAGTAAAGAGAAAAGCAATACAGAAAGGTTTAAGAAACATATGTAACAAAGGTGAGGTGAAACACGTAATGGAAGATTAAATCGACAGCTCACTAGCACAAAGCAGGGATACAAATTTTTCAAATAGAAGGCTCAAACTCTCTGGTTCATTACTATGGAAGTTAAATTACTAAATTGATTGTATATCTTATTATTACAGCAGTTGGGCCAAATATTTTATAATAGACTTCTGTTTCAATGACAACTTTCAAAACACTAATACTGTATTTCCTTCTTCAATGAAAGAACTGCAACACAAGTAACTTAATTATCAATACCAATCATATAGAAATATCGTGATGTACTATAAAGTGGTTAGACTTAAGCTGTGTCAATAGCTTTTTTTTCTGAAGGATCCAGCTTGTTAATTTATCAGTCTCAATCACTACACTTAAGTATTCTTTTTTTTTAGTTGCTGCTACTATAAATCAGTAAGAAGTTACCAGCATTTCCAGTGCACAAACAGATCAAAAGCTACTGTAAGCAGTTTCAGAAGCAGTCCATATGTTTAACATTTGGCACAGGTTTGAGTCCCTGCCTTTTGAATTCTTGAGAACGTGTTTAGTATTATCTACCCTGTTCTCAAAGGCAAACAACCAAAAGGGAAAGTCTGAAGACTGCTACTGAGATACAAAGTTTCAAGGTGCATCTACAAAGCTGTCCAAACGAGAAAATATACGACTGACCTACAGATGCAACGGTCATCAAGTTAAGAAAATTTAGTTATGCATTAGTGAAGAAGAATTTTCAGGCAAATCCTAGAAATACTTTAGAAAGATGTGCTCTAGTATATGCTTTTACTAAAAAAAAAGATTTAACTGTTACAAAATTTATACATATTTACACTACTGAGACACAGGCAAGGGGTACATTATCTTGCCTTGAACACCATCAGCAATGAAAAGGATACAAAACAGTGGGGAAGAGTAAGACAAGAGCAGACAGAAACAAGATCACACATTACTTGGTACAAGTACGTGCAGAGTGACTTTTAAATCACTAAAATAGCCCATCATCATCATGCATCAAATGAATCACCTCTGGGAATGTCCACACAATAGGAGACTGATGCTTTGGAAAACCACTTTGACTGTTTCCTTATGGAATGCCTAATAATCACACACACCAGCAGGTAAATATTTGCATGGTGTGGGGTTTTTTGGTTGTTTTTCTGGGTTTTTTTGTTTGTTTTTAAGAGAACTGAAACTTCTAACAGACTAGGTATTCACAGTTCTGTACTGCATCCAGAACAATTTCAATTGCTCAGTTAATGACAGTAACTTTTTCTTCTCCTTCAA